TGTATGTATGTATGTATGTATGTATGCATGCATGTACAGTATGTATGTATGTGTGCATGCATGTACAGTATGTATGTATGTATGTACAGTGTGTATGTATGTTTTTAACTTGGCATTTAATAAATAACTTTAGGTGCCTGGTTTTAATAGGTCAAATTTTAGCTCGTTTGTTGAAATGGATTTTGTGCAGCTTACATTTAGCTATTTTTCATTTATAAATATTTAGTGTACACGTACAGTTTAAAGGCGGAGCTGGGTGAAACAATGGTTCAGTAAACAGTTCAGTCGGTCTACGTGAGGATCACCAGATGCTTTCCGCTTCTGTTCCTGCTGCTGAATTCGCACGCGCTCGCTTTCCTGCTCTCTATGAAGTGAGCGCGAGGCAGCCCCGCCAGCACACAGCCGGGCGGAGGGAAGTATCACGTGGCGACACGTCTCTGTGACTGACGTCACCGTCCACCATCTCCCAGCAACCCTCTCCATCAGCACTCGCGTCACCGTGCGCCCTAGCCGTTCAGTTGCCGGGCAACCGGTGGCTCGCGCTCGGGTCCAGCCTTGCCTCGCACCCAGCTCGGAGCTCTGACGCGGGTGTGACGTTAATAAGGTGGGTACCAATTTGTTCTGGTGGCGGACGGAGGGAGGGGTGAAGGAAGGAGGAGGAGTTCCCCCTGTGAGAGTCTCCGCTCTGCATTCCGGAGCAGCGCAGAGGCTCAGAGCGGCCGCAGCGCACACAGGCCCGCAGTGCGCTCCGTGGAAAACTTTCTCCTCCTGGCTCTCACTGTCTGCGCTCAGGTGGAATGCTTGGACTTTTTGTCTTACAGTCTGGACTGTGAGAGACGCTGGTTTATGTTCTTTTAAAAAGGTAGGCCCTTCTCATTTTCTATTATTCTTTATTTTATACTTGAGATATGTGTTTTTTAAACATCAAACAAAAGCTTTAATTCGGGTTTTAGTGGTTACATTTAATCTTTTACTCTTACTTTCACTTGCAAAGAACAAGTTACTTAATATTTGAATAGGAGCTGATGATGTGATGTTTTTAAAACCCTTAAAAACATATTAAATTCTTTGTTTTGAGGTTTTTTTTAAAGAAGCATTTTATTTCTATCAAACACTTTGTTATATTTCAGAGTTTTCAGGAGTTCTTCACCTGTTGGTTTAATTCTAACCCGGGTTAATGAAGTAATTTCACCTGCTTGTCTCTGCAGGTACAAGCCTTCATTTGTCCCAGCGCTGTTCCAACAGTCGGTGCACCATGGTGATCATGACAGACACCAGCAGGAGCACCCAGCCGCCTCCTGCCCAGGGGAGGCCACTGCAGGTCGGCTTCTATGAGATCATCCGCACCCTGGGGAAAGGAAACTTTGCAGTGGTGAAGCTGGCCAGACACAAAGTCACCAAAACCCAGGTCAGAAGCCGGGACTCCAGTTCTGGATGTTGCACTTTTTTTTTATTCTAAATACACGCTAAGTGTTTTATTCCTTTTTTAATTTATTCTTTCAGGTGGCTATAAAGATCATAGACAAGACCAGGCTGAATCCCTCCAACCTGGAGAAGATTTACAGAGAAGTGCAGATCATGAAGCTGCTAAACCACCCTCACATAATCAAACTCTACCAGGTGTGTTTTCTTTAACATCGTTTGGAGGTTTGCATGAGATGTAATGTCCTCTGGTTTTTGCATGAACGTGATGTGGACAGAAGTGCATTGGGCATTGCTGCCCTGCAGCGGGGACAATATGAGGAAAACAAGAGGGAATTGGTGGATTTTACCAGCTTGTGAGTCTTCTAAATCACCAGTACAGCACAGCAGCATTAGTGCAATCCCCTTTTGACCTCCCCTTCCCTATGTCCTTCTCGTCTTCCATGTGTGCAAGTGATACAGGAGTTGAAAGACATTTATGGGCACTGATGCCTGCTGTGAGGACAATGTCTTTCTGAGGTGTCCTCAGTCGTATTTAATGGGATAGGTGATTGCAGAGACGTGGGTAAGGGAATCGGTGAAGGAAGTGCGTTAGAACGTTAAGCCTTCTTAGCACCTGTTAAAGCCAAGTGCAATGTGTCTGTCTGTCACGTGAAGGCCGCTCCACAAAGCGCCGCTTTACTCCTAATTAAATTGAAGACTTACGAGGAAGAATCCGCTTTTACCGACTCAGGTGACCTTGCAAGCGCCTCGGCACACATCTGGCAACAAACACACCACAAACAAAAGCAAACAATGCCCATTTTATTCAACTTTCACTTTTTTTTCCCCTCTTTTGCGGATTACTTGGAGTATAATTGTATCTGAGCAGCTCTTCGTGTCCGCACTGCAGAAAATAAAGGCATGACATTTATCTGGAAAGCCCCCCAAATTATTTCCCCTTTTATTCAGAGGATGATGGTCAGATTTGAAGCTAAAATAAGTAAAATGTTAAAATATTTGACAACTATTAATCACAGAAAGCCTTTAAAAGTGGCTTAAACATTCCCTGGGCAAAACTAATGGGTTTGTCTGCTGAATATGAATTTAAGTGTTCTTCAGTGAAAGAGCTGGGCAGGAACAGTACTGAAAGCTCCTTTGCTTAATCACAATCACACACCAGACAGCAAAAAGACAGGAGTGCTTGAATGTACGGTAGACGTTGTGCACATAATGAGCCAATTAAAGTCATTTAAATTCAGAATAAAATCTATGACCATGTTTGGCATCGTACGTTGGCATGATGCATTGTCCAATCCTGAATGGCAACTCATGCCATCATCACTCCGTCACTGACAAGAAACTATGCAAATCAAGCTGAGAAGGATGACTGAATGCATTTAGACTGATTAAACCACTAATGATTAATGCTCTACTTTCAACCACTCCTGTGAAATTATAAACTTGGAGTGTAACCTGTTTGTGGTTCACGTCTTTAGGTTAGTCATGATTGTCACATTGTTGCTGCTTGTTCTTACCTTTTTTCCCTCCATACAGTTGAGGGAACGCAGCATAAGACAGTCTTATGGTCTGATTTTAGTCCGTCACCGGTTTCACGTGAACAAACTAGATTTTTCTTACGTAATTTTGGGTCCTTATTTTTGTTTCTGTCATCCTCTTTGTAAAACCTTACGAGAGCCACAAATGAGGCACTGAGCAGATAATCTTATTTATGTTCAAAATCCTAAACTGCATGAATGTTTTATTCATTATTTTTTTTTGCATCTGTCTTAAACAGACTGAAAGATAAAATGCTGAACAGAAAATGGCTCGAGGGCTCTTGGTGCAAATGTGTGTTCTTCGTAGTTGTGATGTTAGCATCACCTCAAGGTGTCTGAGCTCCAGAGAGCTGCTCTATCACATGTGGGTTTGTCCACTGAATCACCCTCTCCTGGTTAAAAGAACCTGGCTGAAAAGAAGAAAGCTCTTCCATTCACTGGAGTTTGGTGTCATTCAATCCGCAGTTATGCACACGGGTCTTTGTCATCTGATGAAAATTGCATTGTTCTGCAACCTTTCAGCTCAACCGCGTCCCTGAGGCCTTAAAGTAAATGGGAGGCCTTCTGTGGGCTCCAGGAAAAGACTGGCAGTTTCATTTTTCCTGTGCTCTGCGTTGAGTCACCGCACGTACACCGTTTTTATTAGAAAAGGCGTGTTAGCGACCCGGCCAGTTGCTTTGACGCAGGGATATGTGGTGAATTTGAAATTCAACACTTGCATGTGATGCCAACTAGCACCAGCCTCAGGGAAACACTCCCAACTATTTAACCAGCTGGTGTGTGAACATGAAGAAGTTTCCTTTTGAGGTTGGTTTTGGTGTGGATGGTTTGTAAAGCGTGATAATGCATCAGGAAGTAAACTGCCGTATGCAACAGGACAGATCATGGAAAGAACGTTGTCTTTTATTTTCACAAGTGGAACAAGCTAATGGAGAAGGAAAAAAACAATGTTTGAAAATGTCTTATGCAATTTTTTTTGTTGTTGTCGTTTGTTTTTTTTAGGTAATGGAGACTAAAGACATGTTGTACATTGTCACAGAGTATGCAAAGAACGGAGAGATGTTCGGTGAGTTCAAACGCAGCGCTGCTAAATCTGTCGCTCCAGATCAAATGACACGTGAACCCCCTTCCCCAAAACTAAAATATCCTCCCTCCCTTCAGACCACCTGACCTCAAACGGCCGCATGAGCGAAGACGAGGCCAGGAAGAAGTTCTGGCAGATCCTCACAGCCGTGGACTACTGCCACCGGCACCACATCGTTCACCGCGACCTCAAAACCGAGAACTTGTTGCTGGACGCCAACATGAACATCAAACTGGCCGGTGGGTTTTTCAGCAGATCATTTACTGTCGTCATAGTTACCGAATCGCTGGCAAAAAGCGGCTGTGGAAACGTGACAGAGAGTTAATTGATTTGAAGGAAGCGTGTGCTGCTGAGGGGGTTCCTAAACAGCCCTAATTAAATCAATGTTCTGTCTGCGTGCTAATTAAATGTGAATAATTCAGTCGTTTTACCAAGACTAATATCAGCCTGAGGGAGCAACTTCTGCATGTGAACGTTCTCTTTTCTTCATTAAGTGCGTCCCTTAAGAACGTAAAAGTGACTCATACAGAAGTGCACGGTGATGCGTTTGCAGTAGATCTTGAATAAACAAACTTGTGTGCATTTTTTGTTCTGCAGACTTTGGATTCGGAAACTTCTACAAAGCCGGGGAGCCTCTGTCCACATGGTGCGGCAGCCCGCCTTACGCTGCCCCTGAAGTGTTTGAGGGGAAGGAGTATGAGGGGCCTCAGCTGGACGTCTGGGTAAGCCTGTGACAGTAACGTTGAATAAACGAATAAAAGTAACGGTAACGCAAACTTACACTCGCTTCGGTTCTTCTCGACACAGAGTCTTGGCGTGGTGCTTTACGTTCTCGTCTGCGGCTCTCTTCCGTTCGATGGACCGAGTCTTCCAGCGCTCAGACAGAGGGTCACCGAAGGCCGGTTCAGAATTCCCTTCTTCATGTCCCAAGGTATGCACTCATCACCCGTTCAAATAAGCATCATAAATCAAGTCCAATCAGATGGAGACTCATCAGATCTTCCATCTTCACCCAGACTGTGAAAACCTGGTCCGTAAGATGCTGGTGGTGGATCCAGCCAGAAGGATCACCGTTGCCCAGATCAAGCAACACCGCTGGATGCTATCAGACCCTTCGGCCGCAAACCAGACCCTCAGCCATTCCCTCACAGAGTACAACTCCAACCTGGGCGACTACAGCGAACCCGTGCTGACCATAATGAACACACTCGGCATCGATAGGCAGAGGACCATCGAGGTAACCGAGAAAAAACAACAACTTACTTTCTCAACTTTTAACCCTTTGTGAACAAAGTTAATAATTGTTTGTTTTCCTCAGTCTTTGCAGAGCAGCAGCTACAATCACTTCTCTGCCATCTACTACCTGCTGCTGGAGAGAGTGCGGGAGCATCGCACGCAGCAGCTCAGCCGTCAGTGTGGCAGCTGGAACCAGAGACCCAGGAGCACCTCCGACTCCACCGGCCCAGAGGTCAGCATGCTGCCTGCATCCTGGAAGCCCAAACAAGACTCTCCCTGACTCTCAGCGTGAAGTCTAAAGTGCTCGGCTCTCTCTGCTTGCCTTTAGGTGATTATGGAGTCCGGAGAGAGCTTTAGAACCACAGCTTTTTCAGTTCCAGCCAAAAACACTCCTCCACCCGTCTACTCCGAGGTGGAGTGTGACCAAAGCGGATTGTTCCAGGTATTAAATATAACCTTGCAGATCCAGGACGTTGCTGTGCGCTGTTCTGTTAGTCTGTATCCAACGCCGTTCCTCCGTCTGTTTTCCAGCGAGTGGTGTTCCCAGTGGAGGCCAGCCTGAGCAGACTGCTCTGGAACCGCTCCATTTCTCCCAACAGTCTGCTGGAGACGAGCATCAGCGAGGAGGTCCGTCCCCGAGACCTAGAAGAAGAGGAGGCGACACAAACTCTCGGGCCCCTGCTTCCACCCACCACCTCCCGCAGACACACTCTGGCAGAGGTCTCCGCCCGTTTCCACCAGTGTAACCCTCCATGTTAGTACGCTTCACACCCGTTTCACACAATTTCCACTCTGCGAGGGATGAAGAATCTAAAATGTGCCCTGTTGTGTTTCTGTAGGCATTGTGGTCAGTCCTTCAGATGGAGCCTCCTCTGACGGCTGTCTGAAGTCCTCCTCCAGTCCTGCTCCCACTTTGCAAGCTGCTGTGGGGGAGATCTCAACACTTCTGGCCTCCGGGGCTGGAGGTGGAGCTCTGCAACCTGCTGGAGCTCCTCTGACCCTCTCCTCTCACCTCCTGCCCCCAGCACAAAGCAGCCTGCCCACTGCCAGCTTCCAGGAGGGGCGCAGAGCCTCCGACACCTCCCTCACGCAAGGTATAGGAGCAAGCTCACACCCGTTCTGCCATGTTTTACATATGTTACGGTAAAGAAATCAAGGAGGAGTAAGATTTTCCTATCACTTTCTTTGCAGGCCTCAAAGCTTTCCGCCAACAGCTGAGGAAAAGCACACGCACCAAAGGACTGCTGGGATTAAATAAGATTAAGGGTCTGGCCAGGCAGGTTGTTCCTCCCCCCTCCTGTAACCGTGGCAGCCGGGGCTCGCTCGGTCCAGCCTTCTCCGAGCACCGCAGCATGCTGGAGGAGGTGCTGCACCAGCAAAGGTGAGACACGCTGTCATTACAGCCCACATGTTCGATCATGCAGATTAAAGGCTCTCAGACTGTGAGCAGGGACTGGGAGAGGTGGATTTATTATTATGGTGTTAAAATTCTTTGTGTCTCCGTTTCCAGGATGCTGCAGATTCAGCACCAACCGCAGCCTCAAGTCCAAACCACCCAGACAGGACCTACCCAGAATCCTCTGCTCTTCCTGACACAGCAGCAGCCGTCCTCTCCTTCACCGACGTCTGTCTTCGCCCCCTCCTCCATGTTTGACACCCCCACTCAGCCCGCCCTGCCTCCTCAGCAGGCCTCAGCATGTCTTCAACACTGCCCGTGGCACCAAAGTCTCGAGACTTCCTACTCCAGCTGCTCCTCGTCCTCTTCTACCTGCTACACCTCCTCCCTGTCCCCCGTGGCCTCCGCTGCCTATCTTCTCGAGGCACGTCTGCACATCAGCCAACAACCCCAACCTTCTTACACCAGATTCCAGCAGCAGCTTCAGTCTGCCACACAGGCCCCCATCCCCACCCTGTCCAAGCTGAGCGTGTGGAGCCGGGTTTCAGCCCCTGGTGCAGATCCAAACCTGCAGGATCTGGGCCTGGCGGGACAGCAGCAGCTCAGCAGCTGCGTGATGGTGAAGTAAAACCAAACCAGGAGAAAAGAGCACAACTCTGAGCAGAAGAAACAAAAAGCTGATACAAGCGACAAATAAACACATTTACCAAGACGTACACATGTGCGAACGTGTGCTGTATGTTATAAGCTAAAGACTCAGCAATAACCAAACTCTGGACGGGGCGTTGACTTTGTATCCCAGAGAAGCAATAATTGACTCCTCCAGCTGTCAGACGGACTCGCATGGATGAAATAAGAGCTGGCGTTTGTCTCACATTTTGATGCTGTGTAACTTTTTTTTATTTTATTTTTTTAGTTTTTGTTTTTCCACTTGCTTGGACACAAGACCAAATCCATTGTACAAAACAAACAAAAAAGTCCCACTTTGTTCACCTTTCTAAAGAGACATTTCTCTGTAGCAGTGCAATGAACATGAAGTTTAGTGCCCTGAGCTTACAGACCAAGTTGTTTTGAAACTGTGACAATTTCATTTTTTTAGTGACTCAAACGCTGCTTTTACCTCAAGCTGCAGAAAGACTGCTACATCCTAATCAGCCAAAAACTGAGTTACTTTGAGCAAAGCACAACAGGTACATCAGTCAACATGGTAGCACCGTAGGTGTGTGGATCCGTTTTGTCTTTGAGTTAGATGCTTCTACTACCTCCTCAGGCAACGAGGCAACACTTTGGATATTTTGAGCTGAAACAGTAAAAACATTCGATAAAAAAATAGCTGATTTCCAGATGGACAGAACAAAGATTGTGGGAGCCGTGCAATATTTTACCTGGAAACAGAACGGAAAGGCAAGTCTCAAATGGTCAGAAGTGTATTTTGCCTGAGGTTTCTGTTTTTTAACCTTTAATACGTTTCATCTTGAGCTAGCTCAAAGGTACCACGACAACGTGAGACTGCAGTGACTTTTAGAGGAAGGCATTTCAAAAATGCTGCTCTTTCCTGCAGCATGCTCGTACGTTGTTTTCTTTTGTAGCCGAATGGAAGAATTTTGGGTTTTACCAAAGAGCGAACAGCAAAGAGATGGTTGATTTATCAAAGATACACTACTGACTTTTCATTTTGAATGTTGTCTCAAGACGCAACCATTTTTCATACAATCTCAGCTTTGGCTGTAAAAGGAAAAGAAAAAAGTACTCGAGCTGCCACCAAATCCTAACGCTACACCTTTTGTTGCTAACTTTAGCTGTTACTATCAGGACCATGGTTGTATTCTTGTTTTTTACTTTTCTAGAAAAGAAGAAAATGAAACAAAACATAAAATCATAGCAATACCGTGTTGTACAGGAAGCTGAACTTTATTCAGTGGCTAGAATTTTAGTTCAGATCTGAGTTGTCGTGTTGGATGTTCGTCGTCTCATATCTGTGAAGCACTTCATAGGAGAACAGTGTTTTTCTACGTTCTGCCCTGGAAGCATGCAGTGTTGATCTGTCTGCCCTCAAGTTTTGTTGGTTGCACTCACCACCGAGCCTCGTGCCTTTATCAGAACAACTCCCAGTCTGAGTTTTCCATCTCTGTTCGTAACACTGAAGAAAGAAAGAAGTGTCCGTTAGGGGTCCTTCATTCAGCCGCCCCTCCCATATTGTCTCTGACCTTTTAGCTTGCTGTTTAAACAGAAGTTTGCACTTTATCTGTAATTCTTATAGATGATTCTTTGTTTATTTCTCATGATGGGAAAAAAAACACACAACTGTTGACACTAAGAATCACGATGCAAATCTGGAAGATAACCCTTTTGATAAACTTTAGATAATAAGAAGTATTTCCTGTTGTTCATTATTCCTCCAAATTGTTACTTGACTGTGTGAGGATGCTCACGTCTCTCTGTGTGCGTGTGTGTGTGAATATGTGTGTGTGTGGAGTTTAAAAAGACAAAAAGAGGCAGGGTGAGAGAATGAATATTCCAGAAATATTGTTTATTTATATTGCTATTTATTTAAATAAAGTTCACTTCCTAAATTCTGTTTTGCCTCTGAGTCTTTCTACTTAAATTTCCTTGCCTGACCTTTTTTTGTGGGGGTTGTTTTACACATTTTTATGTGCTTTGATTTGCAAACTTCTTTATATCTGCTGCCACTAGGTGATATTTTTCATAAACATAACATACCTTTTCTTATTTACGCCGATGACTCAAATTTACTTCCCTCTGAAGCACAGTGGTGCACGTTCTATTCAACCTCTTCTTGACTGCCTGGTTGACGTCAAGGATTGGGTGACTTTAAGTTTCTTAAACTTTAATAAGAAGAAGAGAGAAGTCATGTTGTTTCCTCCTAATGGCACGATCAAGAACCACTGCGTCAACCTTTCTTCTCTAGTCCATTAGAGAAACAAGTGGTCACTAGTCTGGGAGTGAAAATGGACACTTCCAGTCATGTAAACATGATTGTTAAATCCTGTTTTGTTCAGTTGAGGCGACTGTCTAAACTAAGCTCATACTGTCTAAAAGTCATACTGAGACTGTAATACATGCTTTCATAACATCCAGGCTTGATTACTGCAACGCACTTCTTTCTGGAATCAGTCAGACTTCCATTGCACGACTACAACTGGTCCAAAATGCTACAGCCCGATTAACTGGTACAGGCAAAAGAGAGCACATTACTCCAGTTCTGACTTCCCTTCTCTGGCTCCCGGTTCACTTTTGAATTCATTTTAAAGTCCCTCTCTATGTTTTTAAATCTCTAAACAGTTCTGCCCCTCCAATCTTGCTGATCTGCTGCAACCATATGTCCCACAGCGATCTCTGAGGTCAGCAGAACAGATGTTTTTATTGGTTCCAGGAACTTGTCTTCAGCTGAGGTGACAAGGCCTTCTCTGTTACAGGTCCAAGACTGTGCAATGAGTTACCACTGCATGTCAGGCAGGCCCCCTCCCTCTCTGTTTTTAAGTCTCAATCAAAAACTTGCCTTTTCCCTGGGCTTTTGACACTGTGTACATTGATTTTCATTTGGCTGTATTCTATAATGTGAGTCATTTAGTTTGGCCTTGCTGTTGTTTTTGAGTGCTTTATAAATGAAGTGATATTGTATGGTATGGTATGTTATTGTGGCAGCACGGTGGCGCAACTGGTAGAGCTGCTGCCTCTCAGCGAGCAGGTCCTTGGTTCAAACCCCGGTCCAGGGGCCTTTCTGGGTGGAGTTTGCATGTTTTCTCCATGCATGAGTGGGTTTTCTCTGGGTGCTCCGGTTTCCTCCCACAGACCAAAAACATGCATATTAAGCTGATTGGTAACTCTAAATTGTCCCTAGGTGTGAATGAGAGAGTGAATGGTTTGGTCTTGTTTGTCTCTATGTGGCCTTGTGATAGACTTGCGACCCGTCCAGGGTGTACCCCGCCCCTTGCACAGTGATTGCTGGACATGGGCACCAGCGACCCCTGTGACCCAAAATGGAATAAGCGGGTAAAGATAATGGATGGATGGATGGGTATGTTATTGTATGGTATGGTATGGTATGGTATGGTATTGTATGGTATGGTATGTTATTGTATGGTATGGTATGTTATTGTATGGTATGGTACGATATTGTATGATATGGTATGGCATGGTATGTTGTTGTATGGTATGGTATTGTATGGTATGGTATATTATTGTATGGTATGGTATGGTATGTTATTGTATGGTATGGTATTGTATAGTAGGGTATGGTATGGTATGGTATGGTATGGTATGGTATGGTATGTTATTGTATGGTATGGTATGGTATGATATGTTATTTTATGGTATGGTATGTTATGGTATGGTATGTTATGGTATGCTATTTTATGGTATTGTATGGTATGGTATGTTGTTGTATGGTATGGTATGGTATGTTATTGTATGGTATGGTATGTTATTGTATGGTATGGTATGGTATGGTATGGTATGTTATTGTATGGTATGGTATGGTATGTTATTGTATGGTATGGTATGGTATGGTATGTTATTGTATGGTATGGTATTGTATGAAATGTATGTTATTGTATGGTATGGTATGTTATTGTATGGTATGGTATGGTATGGTATGGTATGGTATTGTATGGTATGTATGGTATGGTATGTTATGGTATGGTATGGTATGTTATTGTATGGTTTGATATTGTATGGTATGGTATGTATGGTATGTTATTGTATGATATGGTATGGTATGGTATTGTATGGTCTGATATTGTATGGCATGGTATGGTATGGTATGGTCTGATATTGTATGGTATTGTATGGTATGGTATGGCATGGTATGGTATGGTATTGTATGGTATGGTATGTTATGGTATGGTATGGTAAAATAGGAAGAAACTGCTGAGCTTCAGCTAATAATCAAACAAAGCTTATTGCTTCCTGAACAGTTATACAAAATCTGTGAAACTGATAGTTTTGTATAGTTTGCTACAATATCTTCTTTGGTATTTCAGTTTTAAGATCAATCACAAACTGCCGCTGACGTCCAGTTATTTGCTGAGAACATTCACCTTCTGCTAACAGCTGGAGAGGCTCTCTGATGAAGATGATGATGCCTCTGGCCCCCTCAGGGGATACTGTGCAGGGTGACGGTGAGGATTCATCTGACCCCGGTGACCCCCTTGCCGCACGGACAGGTGTCCTGACGTCTGTCAGGAAGAGCTATGTGGGAGTCAAGTGACGCAGCCACAACATGAGAGACGGAACCGTCCACGCTGCCAAGTGAACTCTCTACCCCTCACCCTCTGCTTGCTCTTTATCTCCACTTGGATAAGAAAAGGCTTAAAGTTAAAAGTGTTTCTACACTATAGGGTTACACGATGAGAGCATAGGGTTACACGATGAGAGCACGCTTTCCTTAGTTGTGCATATTTACATGCTGAACATATGTTGTGACATTTGTCCCTCGACTGTTGGGCTTGTTGAGGCTCAGTGTGAAAGGTCCAGCTGGCACCAACATATCAGCCATCAGCTGCTGCCTGCTGCAGACATGAGCTCATATCAGCTAAAACACGTGCTCTGAAGTATGTACATGGAGGTTGTTCAGCATGAAGATTGCTGCAAGATATCTGCAGTCCTAACCTTCAAATAGTTTGTTCAAACCTTTTTGACGTCAACAGTATGATAACTCACCCAAAGTTCTGTTCTTTCCTTTTTTGTTGTTTCAACGGAAACATCTTGTTCGGTGATACTCCACTTAAAGCGTATGGCTTCTGAGCAGCTTTGAAGAACTGAGCTTCAATTGTTTTAGCAGCTTATAAAAATAATAATGACTTTTTTAAATGCAGTTGGTCCTAAACTTCCAAACATTGTCCA